GAGATTATTATTTTGTAATAACAATTGTTCGTAATGTGTAAACAGAATGCTATTTCACACATTTAGCTATTTCTGACTTACAGTTATCTTCGTCAAATTGGTCGGCAAATTTAAATTTTTCCTCTCTAATTTAATTAGTTTTCTTCGTTGATTTTAAAGATGTAGAGCCAACTAACTTTATCACTGTCTGTGTGTAGTATTTGTTGGGTGTGATATCAGTGTTACTGTTGAGTATCGTCTTGTATGTGTAATTAAAACTAGCTGGTTATACATGAAATGGTAAGGGAGAGCTGTAACCTTTCACAAACAACCATACGTTCCTGCCTTACAGCCTAGCCCTAATCATACACTACTATATATACGTATGTAGATTAGGTACAGGAAGCCTGTTACTATGCGACCTAAGGTAACAGATGGAAGGTGGGAAGGAGAAGGGGTGCAAGGAGGGGATTTTCTCACTGCCGGCTTCACAGACTCGCAAGACTGATCAGATAAGCTGACGGCTAAAGGTGTCGTGGCCGCAGTGAGAGGATGCTGTAGTCAGGAGAGTTCCGTCGTCGTCAATGAGACAGCGTTGACGTCTGGATTCAAAGCGACTTTTCAAATTCAAATTCAAAATAATCTTTATTTCATAGGTAAGCATTATTACACTTGAAATCGTCACAATGGTTAAACTCTACCGCTCATTCGTACGGCAGATTCCCCTGAGAAGAATGAGCAAGAAACTCTAGGGGTTGCTCTTTGTAAATAACATTTACAATATTTTTTTTTATTTGATACATCAGAGACCGAGACTACCTCCATGAGCTAAACAGGTTAATACCACGGATTTTTGTCATCCAAGTACGCAGAAGTTGTATAATAACCTTTAGTATAAAGTTTTTGTTTCACTATAGTTTTAAACCTCGTGAAAGGCAAATTTTGTATATCAACCGGAATCTTGTTATAGAAGCGTACACATTGCCCCTTAAATGATTTTTTGACTTTGTGAAGACGACTATCAAGAAAAACTAGTTTATTTTTATTCCTCGTATTAATGTTATATCTGTCACTAGTTTTCATAAAGAGATAACTATTCCTTTTAACATAAATGTACTGTGAGGCTAGTGTAAGAATGTTAACTTCCTTAAATTTTGTTTTTAAAGACTAGGCTATTTATACTAATTCTATTTACATGTGTGCGTGTATATCTACAATATAATTTTATGTAAAACAAAGGAAACGCCTACTCAGCAGACTGGTCTTGCACATTCCTATTCTGGTCTGGTCTACTCTTCATATAGTATGGTCAGGTAATCTATTCAAGTCACGTGAACGTAAAAAAAGACAAATTGCCACATTTTGAAGATTTCATTCAAACTATTGTATAACGTTCTTTTTTTTTCATTTATTTATAAGGCACGAGTTACGTACATTATAAATTCACTACGATCTAGCCAAATACAAATCTAATCAGTAATTTAAATTTCACTTAATCTAATAAATAAACAAACTAATCTAAGAATTCATTCAGTGGCAAAATTTTAATTTTCTTATTGTCTATTAAGGCGAAGACACTTTTATCACGTGATAAAATTTTTGTACAGTTTCACTTTAGTTCACACGACATTGTCCTGCACGTTTTTTTTATTACGAACGTACGTTTACGCGAACGTATTCGATTATAAACGGATAGACAGCGGGGCGCATACATGATATATTGTCATGCGTTTAAAAAACGGATAACCGCAGTATTCACACAGCATCGCCCTGACAACAGGTCTATGATGGAGCCACGCTTTGTTGCACTTTTATATTGGCATAGAAGACGCCAACGTCTTTGTCGCCGGAAGAACAGAAGGTATTGAGTTCATCCAATGAATCAAGATGCAGTGCGTAAAAACACATTTGAAAAATTGTACGAAATTCTGAGAAATGTCTCATCAATTATTTTCGAATGTCAGTAATTAGATAGTTTTGACAATTTATTAAAACGTGAGGAGAATTCGAGGTTACTAAAAATAAATACGAAAACTTCAATACTAGACGAAAGTCTTTGACCAGTGTGTGCTGTCAGTGATCACATATGGATCAGAAACGTGGTCCCTCACTATGGGCCTCATAAGAAGGCTCAAGGTCACAGCGGGCAATGGAGAGAGCGATGCTCGGTATTTCCCTACGTGATAGAATCAGAAATGAGGAAATCCGTAGGAGAACTAAGGTAACCGACATAGCTCGAAGAATTGCTCAGCTGAAGTGGCAGTGGGCGGGGCACATAGCTAGGAGAACCGATGGCCGTTGGGGCGGAAAGGTTCTTCAATGGCGACCGCGCACCGGACGACCCTCAGTGGGTAGGCCCCCCACTGGTGGAGGTCGCGGGAAGCCGATGGATGCGGGCAGCGCAGGACCGATCGTCGTGGAGATCGTTGGGGGAGGCCTATGCCCAGCAGTGGGCGTCGTATCGCCGTTTGTTCGGTGACTATTCGATAAAAATAGATATGTCATCGCGGCATGTGAACTAGGTGCTTTAATACAATGCGCCACTGCACACCGAATACGTTAAAGGTCCTTCGATTTGCTTGACAAGTCCGTTGCGTATTCGATAAACGATATAGAACTACTTATGCGTTTTTTGCAGGACATACATCGTGTGAACGGTTCTATGTCTAATGCATACGCAACTGTTTATTCCGTAAGACTTATACTGCAAAAAAAGTGTAGTACAATGACGTGGAATGACTAAGGAGGTAACACTAAACAAGTTCTAGTGGTTTTGTCCGTTTTAAACGTCTTAAGATATTTGTGTAGTCAAGGAGCTGAATGGCCTCAACGTTCACATGACTGAGAAGCCTCGTTGGTGGGCTTCGGAGTACTTCTACGCTATCTTGTCTACGGATTCCATTTTCAAGTCTCTATGGAGGCCTTTGTTTCGTACGTACCAAGTTTTAGGTTTTATTTATATAACTATGGGTTCATTCTCATACAAAGTTATATGTAATAATTGTTTTACAATAATACAATAATTGATTAAATCCTCACAATCCAATTTCCATTATATATAATCCAATTAAATTTCATATGTAGTGATGTAGTGATAATGTATATGAACTATACCCACACCTAAATCTTCCTCAGGAATCACCCTGTCTATTGGTGGAAACCGCATGAAAATCCGTTCAGTAGTTTTTGAGTTTATCGCGATCAGACTGACAAATAGACGCGGTAGTGACAATATGTAGTGATTATACATTATATTATATATATGTAACATATCTGTATTGTATACATAAAATATAGGAAAGTGACTTAGGAAATAAGATTATTGTTAAACGATGCGGTGCAGTGCGGCCCGCCATAATGTGCGTGAGCATTTAAAATATTTAGGTACTTTTTAATTTATTGTTATCATCAGTGAATTTTTTGTCACGATTATCTGCTTGGCAAATCCGCCACAGCCCAGCTTTAAATCGTAAAGATCGGAGGCAGCTCTGCGCCCGTCACACTGAGACATAATTGACAAGTCGAGAAAACCGGAACACAGTAATACTGACATTACTGCTTGACGGCAGAAATAGGTAAGGTTTTAGTACTTCCCTGGACGAACTCTTTCACAAGGAGCTCTACTGCTACTAATAAAATACTGCTACTAACTAATTGTTGCTATAACCCCACAATTCAGGCGTCGGTGGTGGAGATAATAGTGTAATAATTATGTAAATTAGTTCATATGGGCAAAAAAGCAACAGGCAGTTAGTCGCAAGGTGGATTAACGACGTAGTACTCGTCACAGGGCGGCAATGGAAGCGGCTAGGAACGTGGTGGGTGGCACAAACTTCAGGAAGCCATACGCAGCTGTGGGTGAAATCAGGCTGTATATGATGATGATTCGAAGTTATGGTAAATAGTTAAATAAATAAAATCATAATCTCCGGAGACTGCCTCAAAAAGAAGCAGAAAATCGAAAAGAATGAAATGAAGTACGGTGTTCAAAACCATGCCACTGTAATAAGTTCTCCCCATAGAAACATTTAAGAAACGTTGTGTTAAATTTGAAAAATTATTATGTTTCGGAATCTACTGAATTCCACGGATATTTCAACAACGGCCTACGGATTTTTTTAGATTAGATCTGACAACACTGATTTCGTTTTTGGACGAAAGATTTGTCAGCAGGGCAGTGTTGCCAGGTGGTTATATTTCTTACTTATTTCGTAAATTTTGATCCTCTCGCGTAATACGTAAGTTACATTTGGATAAGAAAGGAATGATCAAATCTAGGGCAATTTAAAAATATGTGATTCAAATCGTCAACTTTGCCGCACTCAGAAAAATCGTCATTAACTATATTGAATCTGGCAAGGTGAACGGGAGTACTCGGGAGTACGAACATAACCTCACACGAGTTAATATACTTGCTTAGAGAACCACGGTTTCACCATAGTAGATGTTGAATTAACGTTAATACATAAACATATTATACCTTTCCCCGTTTTAAAACAAGTCAAAAGACCTTGTAACGTGGGCCACGAAAAGCTATGAGTAACACGAAATAGCTTATATTTGTTGCTAAGGCCCTTGGTCGTAACTTTTGAGAATGTGATATTTTTTAAGCTCAATTTTATTTGTTACGCATCCAAATTTGAAAATAAAGTTACACTGAAATGACGTGCCTCAGGAAAAAAAAATCTATAAATTGTGACGCTTCATGTTTCTTGAGCAAACTACTTTCTTTGTTTTTTAGGCTTTAGGCGTAACTAAATATATATCGTTTACACTTAGAAAATTTGATTACAAAAACACGAAAATGTATCCTTTGTAGCAAAGTGTTGCTTTTTAGGAAGTTTGCAGGTAAGGGTACGTAGTTTTTGACTCAAGGGCCCTGGCAACACTATTTCTTCAAAAAAAGAAAAAAGTCTTTTTCCATTTTCATAGTTTGCCTTTCGTGATTGGGGAATTTCGTGAGGAAATTTTGCAAAAGTTGAGAAATGTGGCGTGCGATACTTCTTTTCAAGACATTGCCGATATTGAGTTTTCGCGTGTAAAATGTCTAATCCGGAAGAGAAAGCGACGACGCCCACGGTCGCCGAACCCAACACCTTAACGAGGTTGGCTACGTTTAAAACCCCTCGTGATCTATCACTTGGCGGAGTGAAACTGAAAAAAGTCTACACACCGAATTTAAATGTGACTAGGAATAAAAACAGAGGGTTTGTACACATTCTTAAACTATAAACGCTGTTTAATTTTGCAAAATGAACGTACGACGCATCTGCTTGCCGCGGAGCACGTTTACGTCGAGATTGACGAATGTTGCGTGTTGCAGAGTTTCCTTGAACGGTACAAGAGACATTAAGAAAGACGACAAGAAAAAGGATCGTAAATCTGAGAAAGTCAAATTCGTCAAGCCTGGACAAAATATTATCAAGTCTGGCGGTATATTCTCTGAAGGTAAACGTTGAATCTTTTTTAATTATCTAATAATTAATAGAACTTCTTGTGAAAGAGTTCGTCAAGATAGTACTGCCACCTTACCTATTTCTGCCACGAAGCTATAATGTCCAGTCTTGAAGGGTGAATGTGTTCCAGTTTTGATGCTGCTGTTTCTGGAAGGTTTGTAAAATATTCCAGTGTGCCTTTTAAGTCATGTCACAACTCAAACATCCATAATTAATGTCAGCATTGATGAATGTTCGCAACAATCCTGATCCACAGATAGCAATAATTGGAATAAACTTAACGGATCACTATACTTTGTTTCAATCCATTTTGAACAAAAAGTAAACAAACTAGTCACTGACCCGACTATAGACAGTTTAGTGATGGCCAATTGTAATCCCAACTACACATTGTTTAAATAATTGAATGAATTGATTTGTTCAATTGACTAATACTAGCAGTTTTTCTTACATAACCTCAGATACTCATTTGATTGCAATTGAAATGTTGGATGTAATAATCAATTACTAAACTTTAATTGATTGAACTGAATGTTTTTTTCGAACAGCACTATGCAACCATAGGCAAATCATAGAAGTATAGATGAATAATAACCTCACTTTTGGACTACCATTTTTCAAATACGATTTTACAATGCTATTGAAATGAATATTGTTCGAAAAAGTGATGACAAATCCAGCCGAAATCTTCGAAATATTCATGAAAGTGTTACTTATTCCATTTATTGAGTGATTGCTTTAGAATTTTAACCAAACAGGTTTGTTTACTTTTTGTTCACAATGGATTGGAACAGACTATACAATGGATTTTTGTCATACAAGTATACAGAAGCTGTATAATAATCATTAGTGTAGTTTACATTTCACTAAAGTTTTAAAACTCATTAATAGCATATTTTGAATTTCAATACTCAATACTCAATACTCAATACGTTTATTGCAGACCATAATGTTACAATGTTAGGTGGTAGTAGCAGTTAACATTATGGACCCTGTAAGGGCACAGCAAAACTAAAAACAACTGCAGGCACAGTTGTTTTTACAAATTTAAACTTATTCTATTGTAAACTAAATAACTAATATAATGAAATGATGATTAACTTAGACAATTACTCGTTATGTAGGTATTACTGAACAATATAGATTAATCCAAAATAAAATATTTAAATTTGAAATTTGAATAATTAGATTATTATTGTATTAATATGTATTTTTTGAAATTAAATATTTAAATAATCATTTGGAAATACTCTAATTGTCAATTGTTGAAATACTCATGCAGTGTATAATAGCTTTTTGATATTAAATATGATTTTAAAGTTTTTATAAATTTAGTCGTTTCTGTTTTTATATCTTCAGGTAAGTTATTATAAATTTTGATTGCCATTACAAATGGACTCGATGAGTGCATAGTTAACCGCGATGCTGGTAGTAGCAATCTATCCTTATGTCGGAAGGAATATTTATTGGGGACATCTCCGCGTTTTGTAAATAAATCTAAATTATTTCGGACGAACTTACACATTTCTAGAATATATATACATGTAAGTGTAAGAATTTTATGTTGCTGGAAGAAGGGTTTGCAGCTCTCGGTCTGTTTTAAATTAACTAAAATTCGTACAAGCTTTTTTTGCAGAGTAAATAGAGATGTTGTATCTGCACCATTTCCCCACACGACAACCGCAATCTTAATAAAGATACAATTCTTTACAACTTTGTCTCATAAATTAAATTGTGAATGTGAACACAGGATCAAAACTTTCTGTCAACTTATTGGCATCATTGTATTGCAGGGGTGGGTAGCATTGAACGGTTCTCAAGTAGACCATCTTATGGCAGAGATGCTCAAAGTACCACGACTGCCACAAAATTACTTCCAGCACCTACTTCAGCACCTCCTGTCAGGAACAAGGACTTTAGCAGGGTATGTATCAGAGTTAAACCTACCTCAAATGTTGCGGGTGCCAAGGACACAAACATAGACAACCACAAATTACAGCCAAACTCAAACAAATGTAGGCCATACAAATATTTCTCCTCTATGACAGACCAGCATGGTAACCGTTCGGTTGCAGAGGCACTTAATTGCAAGATTAGTAGTAGTAGAGTTCCTTGGGAAAGAGTAGACGCCCAGGGAAGTACTGCCACTTTACCTATTTCTACCACCAAGCAGTAATGTGAGCATTACTGCATTCCTGGTTATAAAGAGTACAGGTGCTGGTGAAATCACAGGCACGTGGGACTTGTCAACTTATGCCTTAGGGTGACAGGCGCAGTGGGAGTGCCCCTCAGATCTTTGCTATTTTAAGGTCTGATTCCAAGTGCTATGGACAAGCGTCGGTTACCACCAGATGCTAGACTAGTTCATCCTGTCACTAAGTATCATAAACAAAAATATTTTTTGTCTTATATTAACAATAGCAATGTTTCTGACCAGCGTATCAGCTCTCTCAATGGAGACGGAGGCTTGCCTGAGAACAGAGTGGAGTTCATTGAAGACTTCAAACGCGTGAAGGCGCTCGACGCACCTATCACGTTGCCGATGGACGATGGACGTATGTTACCTGTTATGCAATTAATTTTATCATTACATATGTACTCTTACTGAATTACTATTCATGTTTATTACAGTGACTCAACTGAAGCGGCATTTCACCATTAAAAACGAAGCGATGATGAAGACCAAGCGACTCCGTAAGTTCTGTTTTTTCGTAACATTGGTATATTTATTTACCTGTTATTTTAAAGAGACATGAGTTTATCGAATAGAAAGAACCCGAGGTATTGAGCAATGATGAAGGTTTAATAACGAAACTTTGTCTGCCGCGTTAGCCGAAGGGCGTGACAAAATCTCAAAACTGAGAAAATACTGATAAAAGAAATTAAATGAGAAAATATCTGCTGTTTCCAAATGGAAAAACATACGACTTTTCTGCAAACTCGGTGAGATAAACCTATACTATACGCAAAATATGGAATTTAAATATTCTATTATTTATGTTTCATTATTTTACGCTCGTAAAATACTCAATACTAGTTAAGTTAAGTACTTTGGACAATGTAGACGCATTTAAATTTCTCGGGCTGACCATCGATAAGCATCTAAATTGGAAGGAACATATCGATCAAATATGTGCAAAACTAAATAGATTTGTTTACGCTCTCCGAAGGTTAAGGCAAACCGTCTCTCAGGAAGCTGCACTAACGGCCTATCACGGCTACGTTTCATCTGTGCTTAGTTACGGTATCGTATT